CCAATTGATCAAAAGGGGCAAAATAGTCATTTTGACCAAAAGTCAACCAAAGTCAAAGTTAACCAAGTGGACTTTTGGTCAACCATCAATTCAAGTATCCTATTTTCACATTTCATGATCATTGGTGTCATAAAATGAAGGAAAAGATCAAATTGGTGATAACTTGTTCAAGAAGTTATTTGGACTTTTTGAAAATTTCCTAAGTCCTTAAGTCCTTATAGTACTGAATTATGGACATTCATAATTTTCTCATTTTTTATCCAATGAAGGCAAACCCTACATGCTTGGAAAGCTTGAGAGAAACCCTACAAGATTGTGAATGTGTGTTCAAGTCCCAAAATGAAGTATTTGTGAGTTATTGAACTTAGAAGTTTAGGGCATTTGAGATGGCAAGTTACAAGTCATGTTGCACACTCCCCTGCAGTCATTTCTACAAACACATGGTGTGCCCCTATTCGTGATGTCCTATCTCTTAATACAAGTGATAACTGAAAATGAAATTCAAAAAGAAGTTGTAATTAGGAATGTAAGCTACAACTTGGTTTTTTAATCACACAATTTAGATCATTATTGAATGAGATAATAGGGTGTGAATGTTGTTCTTCAAGCTGGAAAAACTTCCAACGCATAAGCCATGCACGCGCGCGCCCTGGCCTGACAGGTTTTGCTTTTCCAAAACTTCACACATTAATTTCTCTATGATACAAGCACCATTCTCAGTAATTCGAATCTTTATGATGAAGCTTATCATGATATCTTTTTAGAGGCCTCTCAAGCACCAAATTCACACGTATAAGCTCAGAGTTGTTTAAGCCATAAGCCATCTGATCAAAGGGTCATGTTGGGTCAGTTTTGCATAAGTTTGTTTTAGTTTGAACTCAGTCACATGGTTGGCACGAGTATCTTTCACTTCTCTTACCAAAACAAGTTAATTGGCACACCTCATAAACATGAAAATCATGCTATCATGACTTGCCATTTTTGGAAAAATATCTTCTTTCAAAAAATCACCCATGTGCAGATAGAGACAGCTCATCAAAAATACCTTTTTCCATTTCATTTTCATCCCAAAATTCTAAACAAAACGACTGTGTAGACTAAGACAGGACCACACAAAAGGCATGCCACATAATTCTTTACCCAAATCCGCAAGCTGTGATGTAACTTCCCTCCAACGGTCTTCAAGCCTGCAAAGACCTTCCTACCCTCAAGCAAGCTTCCTCTGCACTCTTCTTCACTCTATAAAAGTTCACTTCACTCTCATTTTGAAAGGAAGAATTTATGCACGAAATTAACATCTAACTTCTCATATTTTCATGTACTCACATTTGATTTTTTTTCCTCCGTGTAAAATCTCTCATATTCATCCATTTACTTCCGGTTAAGCGTAACATACAGAGTTGAAGAGTTTTCATACAAATTCATAGGTCTAGAGTGAATTTATTTTTCACTTATTCAAGGTAAGTTGTTCTTGAACTTCAATCTGAATTTGTGTTTATATTTTGAGATATAGATCTTGTATGATAGTGTGGTTGGCCAGATCTTAGATCTGATGAGTGTTCATGTGCAAAGTGAATCTTAAAATCGTGCTCTATAAGTTGTGTGTAAACTGATTGTTGTAGTGACTTTATGCTTAATTTTCGTTTTACTCTTGCAACAATTGAAGAATCTAATAGCATAGTTGTATTCCTTGTAATCTCCTGATGAATTTTGATGTTTGGATCGTGAGATTTGGTGGAGAAATAAGAGAGATCGATGGATCTGAAACAACTTGATTGAAATGTGTTTTTACATGTTCTTGATGTGTTGATTTCAGTGATTTTCATGCGCGTTTTTCTTAGTAAATCATGGAAAGTTTTTAAAAATTCTTGTTTCTATGTTATGGACCTCCACGATATCTTTAGTTTGATCAAAGTTTCATGAATATTCATCAAGAAACAAAGGAGAAATCACAAGCTGGAATGAGCATGTAAAATTGAGCATAAGTGGTTAGGACATGGTTCAGTGGCATGGACGACTACGTGGCACACGCTAATTGAGCATGATTTGAATATCTTTTACACCGCGTTTTTATTTTAACAGGTGTAATTGATTTTAGTTTTTTTTTTGAATTTTTAATACATTTTTAATTGTTTTCTTATTTTTGTTTTAATATTTTCTCTTACTCAAAAATTATCAAAAAATATATTAGGCTTATTTTTTGCTATACTTCCATATTCTGATTTTTATTTCCTTTTATCATTTTTTTTAGAAAATTAAATAATGCAATTAATCAAATTAGGGTTTTTCCTCACCATTTAAATTTCAGAATTTTATTTTTCAATTTGTACTAATCTGAAAAAATCCCCAAAAAATATATTAGGTTCCATTTTGAGAGTACTTCATGGAAATAATTCTTGTTTGATTTTATACAAATTCGTGATGATAAAATGAAATCAATCTTCAATAATATCATTCTCTTTACTTTTTTTGTCATATTATGCAAATAATTTTATTTTGATATCTTTCTTGAACAATAAAATTCCATAAAAATAATCTTACTGACTCTTAGGTATTAATCTAATTATCTTTGATTTTTAATTGAGTTTACAATCCAATTTTCTTTTCTTTCTTTAGAAATTAGTTTTGGTTTTTAACCTTTCTTCTTTCTTAGGTCATAAGAAACATTTAAAAACCTAATTTCTTTTACTTGTAAAAATCAAAGAAAATATGTTTAATTTCCTTGGATGAATTAAAATAACAAAAATCATTTTTTTTTTAAATTTTAACTTTTGATTTTACATTTTTTTCACAAATATTATACTAAGACTCTCTAGCTTGACCCTCTTATTAACTAATCTTGGAAATTCCTAATCATTTCTAACCCCTCAAATTAATCCGAGGAATATTAATCATGTTTCTAACTTTTACAAAGCCTTTAGAAAGTTAGGTTTTAATTGGCTCAATTTTTTTATAATTTTTATTCTGTTTTTAAACTAATTTTAATTAGAGAGTATATTAGGGTTTTACCTTATGCTTGTGCATAATTTAAGGATTGTTTCTATCTTTCTTCATTCTCTCATTACTCTAACACCTTTCTTTCCTATTCAACCTTGAGTACTTCTTACCCACCTCTCTTGGTTTGTTTAAGATTTACATTCCTTATTTTGTTTGACAGTGTTTATTAATATTGAAGCTTGGTCATATCTTTTCTCTTCTAGACCCACCTCTGGTATGCTCCCCATAGGTTTTTAATTTATTCTTCTCTAAGTGTTAATTGAATAGACCTTAGGCTTATATCCATGTATGCTAATATTAGGCAGATACTTCCCCCATTTCATCCTCAACTATAGGGTCAATATTGCATGACAACTCTAGGGTTATTTTGCTAGTCTCCCCTTAGGCTTTTCTTTTCACATTTGTTCTTTATGTCAGTGATCCTTCTAACACTAGATGGTCAATTGTTCTTTAAGGAAAACATATTTCCGATAGTACTGATGAAAATCAAAATTTTAACTACGAGATGCATTATTTAACAACACATGTACATCAATCATCTGAAGAGAATAATTCAGTTGATGAGCATGTTATCCGTCGTGATCATGAAGAGGGAATATGGGAAAACCAGTAAGTAAATATTTTATATCTCTTAGTAATTTATAATTAATCATTTTACTCCTTTTTAATCATTGTACCGCAGATTTAAATTTTTTGTAGATTGTCCTAATTAAGTTCAAATGTTGTTCAAATTATAGGTTCTTAAGGACGTGTGACAAATCCTATTTGACAACCTACAAGACTTTCCATTTTAGTTATTACTTTTGCTAGTTATATTCATTTGTTTTAGTTGATGTAAAATTATAAACGGAAAAAAAAAATTATAAAGTGTGTGCCATTTTAAGTTTGTATTTGGTGTAATAAATGAATATTTGTGGTACAATATTTTAGATTGAGAAATTGAAGAAATGTACAATGTTTTTATTTCAAGAATCTGCAAAATATGTTTCTATATTCTACAATATGATTTTGTAATACAGGTGCAAACAACAGTACTAAAAAAATTGTATCCTCTCGATTTTTACATAAAACCGAGATAATAACATTGAGATATTATCGCTATTCTACAAAACAAATGCTAGAGGTCGAACACACGTGCATATAACTTTATCCTTTGTCATTTAAATAACCGAAGTGTCAAGTGATAACTTTTCATGACATCTTTTATTACCTTATTTCCGTAATCAATATTAAATACATTTCACATCCAATAATAAATATATATTTTTTAGAAGTGATTGCTTTGTGTCATCTTTGTACATCAAAGTTAACACCTCAAATATTATGGTTTTGGGTCTCACTATCGAGTATATTTTGTAATTTGAGTTATGGGTTTTTTTAAATGAATGTTCCATAATATATTCAAGTTAAATTACTCATGCCCATTTCATTACAACAAATTACTTATGCCCATATCATTACAAGAAAGTATACTCCTTTCACACCATATTATAATCAAAATCTACCATTTTACAATTTTGAAAAAATAGCTATATCAAATGCAAGTATCTAATATGCCCTTCCATTACAAATAACCAAAAAATAAAAAAATACAAGGTGGTTAAATGGAGGCCAGCTGGTAAGTCATTAGATAGACGACATTCATTGTTCACACAAGCTAGTAGAAGACACAACATGGATAGCTATAAATGTAAATAAATCTTTATAATTTTCCGATTTAAGCACACAATATAAGCGTTGGGAAAGGATAGAAAAATAGATAATTATAATAATAAAGAGATAGTAGTTCCTTCTAATTTATGAACTTTAATCCAATGCACCCACTTACATTAAATGTAGAAATTAAATTCCATTGAAAATTCTCAACGACACAAACACCAATTAGGTACTAACAATAACTCTTTCCCACCCACCTCATGTAAATCAAATTCATAAACAAATATTTATATACAACACAAACAACACCATCAACAACAACATAGTGAACAAACAAACACACAACCATGGCTACTAACGAACGTGACATGTTCTCAGCTGAGATTGTCAACCGTGGGATTGAATCCTCCGGTCCGAACGCCGGTTCTTTGACGTTCTCCGTGAGGGTTCGACGACGCTTACCGGACTTTCTTCAGTCTGTTAACCTTAAGTATGTCAAACTAGGTTACCATTATCTTATAAACCATGGTGTTTTTTTGTTCACTGTGCCAATACTACTCTTGGTGTTTAGTGCTGAGATTGGTAGCTTGAGTAAAGAAGATCTTTGGAAGAAGATTTGGGATGATGCAACCTATGATCTTGCTTCTGTTCTCTCTTCTCTTGCTGTTTTTGTTATCACTTTCACTCTTTACTTCATCTCAAAGCCTCGTCCTATTTATCTCATTGATTTTTCATGCTATCAACCAGATGATGAACTCAAGGTATGTTCATAATAAAGTATCTCACTAGTTTAGTGTTTTTTCCTACACGATATTATACTTGCTTTAAATCGAGGTAATAGTATCAGAGTCGTCTCAAGTTTTTTTAGGCTATGTGTAGGTTAACTACAGTCTAAATTTTTTTAGAGTCTGTGTAGGTTAGCTGCAGTCTCAAGTTTTTTAGGCTTTTATGTGTAGGTTAGTTAGAGTCTAATTATGGCAAAATAAATAGAGGTTATATTTATTCAGAATTTTACCTAACAAATATTTATGAGACCTATTTGGCTATATTTAAATTCTGATAAATGTGAGACTTGTGCGGTAGTCTATCTTACACGCCTTTAAAGATAGGGTTGATTAGTATTATTTTACATGATTTTGGAATTTGTTGCATGAAGGTATCAAGGGACCAATTGATAGAGCTAGCAAGATCATCAGGAAAATTTGACCAAGAAAGTCTAGATTTTCAAAAAAGGATAGTAATGTCATCAGGAATAGGAGATGAAACCTACATTCCAAAATCAATAGCATCAAGTGAAAACACAGAAACAATGAAAGAAGGTAGAGCTGAAGCATCAATGGTTATGTTTGGAGCACTTGATGAACTCTTTGAAAAAACCGGAATTAGGCCAAAAGATGTTGGTGTTCTTGTAGTAAATTGCAGCATATTCAATCCAACACCATCACTATCAGCAATGATTATAAATCATTATAAGATGAGAGGAAATATTCTGAGCTATAATCTTGGTGGTATGGGTTGTAGTGCTGGAATTATTGCTGTTGATTTGGCTAGGGATATTCTTCAATCTAACCCTAGTAATTATGCTGTTGTTGTGAGTACTGAAATGGTTGGATTCAATTGGTATCAAGGAAAAGAAAGATCTATGCTTATTCCTAATTGTTTCTTTCGTATGGGTTGTTCCGCTGTTTTGCTCTCTAATCGTCGTCGTGATTATAGCCGCGCGAAGTATCGTCTTGAACACATTGTTCGTACTCATAAAGGCGCTGATGACCGCAGTTTCAGGTACTTCATACTTTCATTCAGATCTTTTTTTTTATATATCAATGTACGTTGTTTGTTTGTCTGCTATTTTTGTATATTGTTGATTATATCCGATTAATGAAAAAATTATAAAATCGGATTACTTTTCTTATCTTTGGTTTTTTATTTTGGATTTAGTTGATTACTTGTTACTAACTAATTTCTTCTCTTAACAACTAAGCATTAAATGACTTTGTATTTTATACCAAAAGAAAAATAACAGTCACAATCACTATACTATCCCTTGTGATGTGTGCTAAGAACAAAAAAAAGAAAGAGATTAAAAGAGGAATCACTACATAAGGACATAAAGGATAAAATGAAAGAAAACTATGAAAAGATATCTGAGTTCTAAAAACAAACAAAATTACAAAAGAAAACTTAAAAAAGATTATGACAAATGAATTAACTTTCATGTGAATCGTGTGAATAACACCAACAAAAAAGGTACACTTTTGAACATGTGGCTAGCAAATTTTTTCTATAGATTTAAACTTTTTTTATCTTTAATTCTATGATATTTTTTATCTTTAAAGTTCGTCGGAAACATAATCGATTTTTGTATAAACTTTATTATATATTGATTATAACGATTTGTTCATAACTGTAACACATTTATAGGTGTGTGTACCAAGAGGAAGATGATCAAAAGTTCAAGGGAATTAAGATAAGTAAGGATTTGATCGAAATCGGCGGAGAAGCTCTGAAAACTAACATCACAACCCTAGGACCATTAGTCCTACCATTTTCCGAACAGCTTATTTTCTTTGCAACCCTAGTTTGGAGGAACTTATTTGGAGGAGGCAAAAAATCTGATAAGAATTCATCCTCATCAAACAAGCCCTACATTCCTAACTACAAACTCGCATTCGAGCATTTCTGCGTGCATGCTGCAAGCAAGGCGATCCTGGACGAGCTTCAAAAGAATCTCGAACTCAGTGACAAAAACATGGAAGCTTCACGAATGACGCTGCATCGATTCGGCAACACTTCTAGCAGCAGCATTTGGTATGAACTTGCTTATATGGAAGCTAAGGAAAAGGTGAAAAGAGGAGACCGTGTTTGGCAACTTGCATTTGGTTCTGGCTTCAAGTGTAACAGTGCTGTTTGGCGTTCTATGGGACGTGTTGCAAAACCTACTTCTAGGAACCCTTGGCTTGACTGCATCAATGCATATCCTGCTCAACTCAATTGAAAAAGCACTTTTTATGATTGTTATTGCTATGAATCTATTACCAGTGATTATGATTATGATTATGATTATGATTATGATTAAGAAATTAAGACTTGTTTTTAGGATGAAATAATGGTAGTTTTTAGTTAAGTTAAGTTGGTGTTTAAATTTTAAATTTGTGGTTTATGATATTGTATACTGTACACTGAGGCATATAACATCATATGCCAATGTTTGTTTCTCTGTCACTTTAAATTAAATTTTTAAGCTACTTTTTCTTTCTTATTAATTATTGGCTTTAAATTTGTACTATGCTGATAATGACTCATACTGTTTCTCTCTCTCACCTAAATTATTCAGAAATGTTTCTAGAAAACGAAGTTTGATGAACATCATCATTGTTACAGGTTGTGATTCATTCAGTTCTGCAACAACATTAATGCTGAAAAAAGATAGTTGGGGCGTTATAACTAGTACTATTCCCCTAGGTAGGTAGTAGTAGCTTTACATTGTTATTACAAAATTATTATTCAGGGTGGATTTGTTTGATTGGAGAGAAAACATCTCCATATCATTTGGAGGACATGGAATTAGAGAAAAATAAAGACCACTTGCTCATCATGATTGCATGATATTAAAAAACAATACACCCTTCCACAATGAAAACCTAACAACATGTGGCCTGGGCGTGGATTTAAATGGTGGGTGGTTTGAGAGCGGAAATCTAATAGCAGGTAGTCTAATAGATTTTTTATTGGCTCTGATACCATATTAAGAAATTTGGTTTAGCCTGACTCAACCATATGAAACTGACTTTTAAAATGAGAGATGTCATTATATAAATTTATTTGAAAAACAATGTTGAGCGAAATGTTTTTTACCTATATCAATATAGTAGTCTAAATGAACATAATTATTGGAAACTCGGATATGCGCATGCCATATATAATAAAAACAATGATAAAATCAATCAACATAATAATATCTCAATTAATAGTTTAATATCAAACACAACGGTTTCCTATTTCCAATGAAATCTAAACAAAATTATAGAACATTGTAATTTGTCAAACACTTTGTGTGCGTTCAACTTTTCAGAATTTTTCTCTTGAGTTGTGTTGATATGAAAATCACTTATAATTAAAGTGATTATAAGCTAATCAACACACCACTTTAAACAAAACAATTGTAGAAAAATTCTTATAAGTTGATCGATTACTCAATTTTGTTTGACAAATTGATATATGAAAATTAAAGCAAGTAAAATGATAGTTTCCCATTTTCGTCCTCGCATATGGGTACATTTGCGCCCAATTCCAATGTAGAATTAGGATACTTTCTTACTTTGCAAAAAGTATGATTACAAGAGAAGTGTTCAAGAGCAATCCTACAAACTCTAATCGTTTGTTGTTGATTCAACCGCTTCTTTTCTTTTGATCTTCAACAAGATGAAGCACACAATAGATTGCCAATTGACTATTTGGATTTTGCTACTCCTTTGCGTTCTTCATCTCCAAAGCTTCTGCGCGCTATGAATTGCAACTATTGCAACACAAGACTTCAATTTGATCTGTCATTCTCTCGCTACTTCCTTTACGTTCTTTATCTCTAAAGGATCATGTTGTACCCCAAAATTTGCCCTCCCATAATCTTCAAAGTTTTGACAAGCATCACCTCAAATGGTTCAAAGTCTACTCAAGGGGCTGCACAGTCAACCACTCTCCTAACACAGTCAAAATTAGGGTTTTGGTTCCTGCAAGGAAGTTGAGGTTTTCAAGGGCTCAATCAAGTCCCATATGCTCATACACATTGTCAAGCACCTACATGTCAAGTTTCAAGGCTCACAAGGTCAAGTTGCACAGTCAAAAACCCTAATTGCTCAAACAGTCAACTATAGGGGCAAAATGGTCATTTGGCAGTCAAAAGTCAAAAATTTTGGTCAACATCTCATTTTGAAGCCACAATCATCATTTGGTCAAGTCTTGACCATGATTTCACAAGAATGGCTCAAAAATCATCAAGGTGTCAAAAGTTTCTATTTTTGGACAGCTGAAAAGTCAACTGTAACTTGACCAAGGCATAACTTTTTCATGGTTCATCAGAAAAATCTCATCCAATTCTCATCTTGAAGGGAAGGACATTTCCTATAACTCATCTTCACATTCCAAGTCCAAGAAATGCTCTCACAAAAAGTTATCAATTTCAACATTATGGGTCATTTTCAAAAGTCAACAAAAAGGGACTTTAAGTCAAAGACCATAACTTGAGATTGGTAAATCAAAATGACATGGGACCAAGGACATTGGTTATAGGACTTCAAGACCTTTCCAAAATGTCCAAGAACATGTTCATAACTTCAAAATTGAGCAAGATATGCATTGGAGAAGTTGGGAAATTTTTGTGAAATGGCCAAAATCAATTATCCTTGAAACTTCATTTTTGACAAAAGGGGCCCACTTTTTCCACTTGATTCAGCTTGGCCATGCTTCCCACGTGTCCCACATTTTATTTCAAAATATAAAATTAATTTTTTCATTTTTATTTGATTTTATTGGATTTAATTCATTTTAAATCCTTTAAAATCAAATAAAAATCAAAAAGGTTAATTAAGGGACATATTTGGCTTTGATTAGCTTTGAATCACCATTATACACATCCCAAATTCGTGCCAAGGCCTAATCAAGCAAGAATTCAAATTTTGGTACAAAGATGGAAAGTGTTTCAATGGAGGTTTATGGAAAATCTTAAGCATGAATGCAAGGCATTATTGGCCATAATTCTTATCAAAACACATTACATAACATGTATACAAGTGAACACAGGCAGATACACGACCTAAGAGCTCCAAAAACGGCCATACAAAATTGCAAAATTGTCACATAAACTTGAAATCTGAAAACCTCCTTACAGCAAGTTTTAAGCTCCAATTCCCATCAAAACACACTCCTGGCATCTCAAGGGAACTTTTGCAATCAAAAGCCAATCCAAACGTTCCCAGAATCTCAACACTCAGGCCCAAACGGTTTGCTTTTTTTTCTTAAATTCTATGTGATTGCTCATGCGTTTCTTTGACATTTTTTGAATTGATTTACATTCATACTAACATCCTGAAGCTTTTGGTATTACTTGATTGAGCAATAGCGCCCCATATCAAAAGTTGCCATGAATGCATATTAGGGTTTCAGAGAGTTTGAAAGAGGGCTTCATTCATCTGGAAAAATTGGCCAAACACACCTATGCCATTGGACTCAGGACCTCAAAACGAGTCGAACTCACTATTCGCGCCCAATTTATATTGCTCCATAGCCTAATCGCTATTTTTGCAGGTTTGACTTAGTGGGGGTTCAAAACCCCCGATATTTGCTTTTAGTTGCAGAAGAAAAAGGAGGACGAAGCTTAGGTGTCCACGCGTTACTGGGTAGTTCAAATCCTGGCGCGCGTTTTTGTTAAAATCCCACTAATGCTTATTCTCTCTCATAATAATCCTTATCCATCATAATATCAAAGAAACGCACTAGCTCACTTGGTTAGCACGCTGGCATGCAGGTATTGGGACCTGGGTTCGATTCCCAGGTCCCCCAATTCTTCTATAATATTTTTCCTAATATGTTTCTATGCAGGGTGCTCACAAGGGTCCATTGTGCAACCTCATCTCCTGGTCTGCCAAGTGTCCATAGGCTCTGATCTGAAGGCCACAAAAGTGGCTCATCATGCGCGTTAGTCAACTGCCTCCCACACAATCTCTGAAAGTCAAAAGGGCCTGATTCTAGTGGGCCAAAAATGCTTCAATACACCTCCAAAAAGGGCCAACACCCCCTTGGTTTGCATCACTTTTTCTTTTTTTCTTTTTTTCATTTTTCTTTTCTTCTTTTTATTTTAATTGTTTTTCTTTTGTTTTATTCACCAAAATTAATTTTTATAATACAAAAAATACAAAAAAATCAGAAATCATAAAAATAAAAAATATGTTTTATTTAATATTATTTTGTAAATAAATTTTAATAATCAAATTAGTTTAAATTTAGGTTTTTAACTTTAATGTCTTTTTCTAAATAATAAAAAAAAACATAAAAATTAGGTTATTAGTATCTTTATTTTTTTTCTCAATAAATAACTTTTTCTCCTTATTATTATTATTAATTAAATTTGTAAATACTCTTGTAATTAAACAATTAGTAAATTAGGCTTAAACTTAAACATTTTTTTAATAATTAAAAACAAACTTAGAATTAGGGTTTTTATTTAATTTCTAATTTCAATTAATTTTCTTTATTTCCCTTAAATACAAAAACATCAAAAAATAAGTTCTTTTCTTTAATTAATTTGTAATTTCAATTCAATTTCCTTAAAGGGTCCAACGCCCTCGCAGTCTCGATTCTTATTTCTTTTCGCGCGTTTGTCTTTATTTTCATTTCAAATATTATGTAATTGCCCCAAAGCCTTGTAATAATAATTAGGACATTTACTTTCCGCACTTTTATTCAAAAAACGGGTCTTTGTTTAATTTGGCGATGTATAGACCCGCGCCTTGTAATAGCGTAGGACTTTTATTTTCCGCATTTTAATTTCCGCACCTTTTAACTGCTAATCACATGAAAGAATGAATGGCTCAAATAAAATCAAAGCGTAGCTCACCCAACGCATGACAAGATAAAATATAACTGAAAATGACACACAATTCACACACCACCCCTAGGGTACGCCTCACTGTTGTCTTGCCCCTCGAAACGTGGTCGTCGAGTATAGGACGTTTTAGTAAGTCCTTATGTCCATGAACATGGCATAAGGGTAGCTTCTAAGGTGCCCTACTGTTGCTCTGGTGATCACACTGCTGCCTTGCCCCTCGAAACGTGGTCGTCGAGTATAGGACGTCTTAGTGAGTCCTTATGTTCCATTGATCTAGTTGCCTCGAAACGGTTGCCTCGAAACAAGTTGCCTCGGAACGGTTGCCTCGAAACAGTTGCCTCGGAATAAAAAGATCAATGGCATAAGGGTAGCTTCTAAGGTGTCTTACTATTGCT